ATAGATTATATCAAGCTAATAAATATTATTAAAAAAATTATTATCTAATAATAAATTCATATAACATATCATACTAATAAAAAGTAAATAAGTATAAAAATATATGTATGCGGTTCGGTTCGGTTCGGTTTGGTTTGGATCGGTTTGAAAAATTAATCCAAAATCCAATTCGAACCGATCAGTTTTCACAAAATAACATCAAAACACATCCAATAAATTTTGGTTTTTTGCGATTTTCGGTTTTTTGAATCGATTTTCAGTTTTTTATTTAGTTGGTTTGAATTTGAACACCTTACTCACTGATGGCTCCTAATTCTACCTCAAGTCCTATACCAAATATAATTCACGATGACTCTTCTTTAGTAGTGTTTGTTATCTCTAACACCTTGACTAGTACTGCATTCAACTCCACTACATCTATATCACCTTATATTCATAGCTCATTTATCCCTCATATCAATCAGTTTAATGAGCACCCCATTATGACTAGAGCAAAAATAGTTCACTTCAAGCCTAAATCTCATCTTACACATATAGACCCAACTTCGGTCAAACAAACCTTGTCTCATCCAGCTTGGTCTAAGGCAATGCAAATTAAGTATGATGCATTTCTTACTAACTAAACCTTGTCCTTTTAACATCTCTACCACCACATGGAAAACCTCTAGGTTGCAAGTGGGTGTTCAAGGTGAAATAAAATCCCAATGTCATCGTTAACAAATACAAAGCACGCCTATTGTCTAAGGGTTATCACCAACAGTTTGATTTTGACTTCAACAAGACATTCTCAATAGTTGTCAAACCAACCAACATTCATGTAATTCTAACTTTTGCACTCACTATCAAGTGGGAACTTCAACAAATTAATGTATATAATGTGTTTCTCAATGGCTCTTTACAAGAAGATATCTAGATGACTCAACCACCCTGTTTTGAAAAGCAAGATACATCCCTTGTATGAAAACTTCACAAGGCATTATATGGACTCAAACAAGCCTCACATGTGTGGTATGAGAAACTTACTCAGGCGCTTATTCACTTTGGTTTCACACATAGCAAATGTGACACTCTTTATTCCTCTACAAACATCTAGGTATAACTACCTTTGCAATAGTTTATGTGGATGGCATTTTAATCACATGTTATTCCTCAATGTAGATCCATAAACTCCTTGATTCAGTCCATGACAAATTTTCCCTAAAGAAGCTAGGATACCCTGAGTATTTCTTAGACATTGAGATTAAACGGCTACATATTAGTTTTCTTCTACTTACACATTCTAAGTACATATCTGATCTTCTAAATCCTGCCAACATGATTAATGAAAATGGTGTCACCACACCTATGTTGACAGGCTGCAAGTTAAGCAGGCATAGTGCAACCAATCTCTCTGAGCCCCATCACTATAGATCTACGGTTGAAGCACTTCAGACTCTTACAAGTCCAGATATTGCTTTTAGTGTCAACAACGATGTTAATTCATTGTCTCGCCTCTGCAAACTTATTTATCAACTATAAAATGTATTTTGTGTTATCTAAGTGGCACAATTCACCATGGCTTCTTACTTTCCCCAACTTCCAATGCAAGCAAACTCTCTTTTCGCGCCTATAGTGAGTCTGACTGGGCGAGTGACCCTGATGACCCTTATTCCACATCTGGCTCGTGCATTTTTGTTGCCATAATATATTCTCGTGGAGTTCGAAGAAACAGTCGTTGGTTGCACGATCGAGCACTAGGGAAGAATATTATGCCTTAGATCACACTACTTCAGAACTGATATGGCTTGAATCGTTGCTCAAAAAACTTGGTGTAGCATTATTTCCTCTAAGATTCTATGTGACAACCTTAGTGTCGTCCTTCTCTCACACAATACGATTCTCGATGCTCGCACCAAATACATTGAGCTTGATGTTCATTTTGTGTGTGAAAGAGTCATTGTTGAACACAGGAAGATACAACGTGTTCCTAGTACTTTACAGGTTGCAGATATACACTCACCAAACCGCTTGACACAAAGGTGTTTCAAGACTTGCGCACCAAATTCAAATTCGTCAACGTTCATCCTCCTTGAGCTCGTGGGAGAGTAATAGAGTGTAATATATCACTCACCATAACATAACCATTGTAAGCATGGCATAGTTTAGCATGCATGCAAGCCATGCATATGTAGAATCTTTATCATGTGTATGGAGTGTGATCAACCATACATGAGAGACTATATATAAAAGCCTTAGCATCGGAAACAATTAACTTCAATTAATCAAAGTGAATTGAAGTTCACAAAATAATTTTCCATTAATGGGCAAAATAGCACGGAATTTAGGGCAAAGAGGAGAAAGACCTTAGGCTCGTACCATGCCGCGGATTAATATTTGAATTTCATTTAAAAGATATATTCATAAATGTGGGAGCTATTGAAAACTAAAAAAGTTATGAAAATGAGTTGCTTTTGAGAACAAGAATCAACTAGAAACAAATTAAATAAAGCAACATGAAATTTGGAGAAGAGGAGCACGAAATTTAGGACAACGTTGACATATAATTTTCTTTTTCATTGATGTGATAAATCATGTGCATGAAATTTTACACCTTATCATAAAGTTGAATTCTCATATGCTAAAGATATATTATTTATAGTGAAGCAAAATTCTTCATTCTCACCTATCCAATAAGACAAAGACAAGCTAAAGATTCTTCCATTATAATGTGACATGAAAATTGATACGTTATAAACATCAAGCATTCTATATACAATATACTATCCAACATGTTCCCCTCAACAATTTTGAATAATACAAATTTGATACTTTAAATAGACACCTTTTCTCAAAATAGCCAAAACATTCGTGTAATCTTTCTTTATCCTTCTAAAATCAAGCCACCTTCATTATCTTCCTTTCTAAATACTCTTATGTTATGGTGCCTATAAATTACTTCAAAAACTCACTTACCTAATATCTTTGCAACTCATTGTCATTGATTATAATGTCTAGGCAATTAGAACCACTTACTGTGGGAGGAGTGATAGGAGAAGTTGTTGACATTTTTAATCCAAGTGTAAAAATGAATGTGACATATTCAACCAAGCAAGTTGCAAATGGTCATGAGTTAATGCCTTCTATTGTTATCAACAAACCTAGGGTTGATATTGGTGGTGATGACATGAGGTCTGCTTATACTTTGGTAAGTTATTTAACCATTCTTTTTTTTACCATGTTTCATAAGTTACATGCACGGACGATCTTTTCGTTTTGCTGATCACTAAAGAAAAAAACCTAACTATCTATCTTTATTAATATGTTTTTCTTAAATTGAATTGAAAGTTAGCCAGACTTTCGAGTTATTATTCAATCTATTTAACTATGATTAAACCGAATGACAGATAAACAATAATATATTATAAAATAGTACTAATAATCTAACTAAACCAAATGTGGTCAGACCAATGAGACCTTCGAGTCATGGTTGATTTTTAAGACATTATTAGAGGTTAAAACCTTAGACATAAATATACATGTTTTCATATGTTTTTACTAACACATGATATGTACCAAATTAATGATGAACTTGTAGATCATGACAGACCCAGATGCTCCTAGTCCTAGTGATCCATATTTAAGGGAACATCTTCACTGGTTTGTATAATCAAAACTCTCTCTTTCTCATCTCTTTATTTTTTTTATCATCAAATTCCTTTTATAAATGAACTTGGTGTCCTCAAATTTTCAGGATGGTTACAGATATTCCAGGCACCACAGATGTCTCTTTTGGTTAGTCTCTTTCTAAGAATAATCTTACTTTGTATAATTTTTTTCTCCAGAGATATTTTAGTCGATAAAAATTGATGTATTTGATCCATATAAGTTGTAAGAATGATTATTTTATTAACTTTGATTCAGGAAAGGAGATTGTTGAGTATGAGAATCCAAAGCCGGTGATAGGAATCCATAGATATGTCTTCGTCTTGTTCAAGCAAAGAGGGAGACAAACAGTGAGAGCTCCGAATTCTAGAGACCAGTTCAGCACAAGGAGATTCTCTCAGGAGAATAGCCTTGGCCTACCGGTTGCTGCAGTTTACTTTAATGCTCAAAGAGAAACTGCAGCAAGAAGAAGAAGATGATGATCAATTCCTAAAGCTGCAGAAAGGGTGCAGTGAATAAAACTTGTTATACCTTAATTAGATTTTGTTTTCTTATGGTTTTGTTGTTGAATAATGATAGATTTTTGTTGAAATCTCTATCACTTCTCATTTTTGTTTGTCTATTTCTTTGGAGGCGTATTGAGAATCCGTTTGAGGTTGTTATTTAGATTGTAACATCAAAGCTTATGCAGAGTGAAGCAACTTTGAAGACAGTTAGACATAGTAAGAAAAACTTCTATAGTACATTGCAGCCACAACTATAGTATGTAGTTGGGCCAGCGATAGTGTAAAAGGAACCTTAGAGAGTGTACAAGGAACCTTAGAGTTAGGTGTGTTTTTAGAAGTGGCACATATTCTTGATGTACTTTTGTTGTTTGTATTATTAGTAAGTTTATTGAAGTTGTGGAACAAACATTGGTTTTAAGTTTTATGATGCGACGGACACCACAAACACGAGACTAACATATCAAACACAGACACCAGAAACATGACACCGATACTGACACGTCGACAGCTTGCGCTGACTAATAGATATGAAATAATATTTACAAAATAGAACAATCTCTTAAATATATACTAGTATATTCATATAAATAGAAATGAAGGACAAAATATATGATTGCTCAATTATATTGTCTTCAAAAAGTGTGACTAAGATTGGTCACAGAAAAATCCAAGGTAATAAATGCACAATTCCTAAAGATGATTGAATCTTCTATTCACATTCACTGTGAGTTAAGTTTAAGTTCAAAATTATTCAATAAATTTGACAGTTCTATGTAACCTTGCAACCATATTATTTATACAAAAGAACCTCTTACTGATACTAATCTGATACATACTTGCCTATTGAATCAATCAAGCATTTATTTCTGAATTACATTGATTCTCTCTGCTGCAACTTCTTCTACCCCAAAACATATTCGAACACGTAGTTTTCACCAGTTTTGGTCCTTCCATTTTATCTTGATCAGTTGTCGAAGCTTGTGAGTGACGGGGAGATTCATCTTGAGTTTCATCTTCCCGGGGTTCAAATGGTGGGCAAGGACCATCATTGCAGGTACATAACGGAATTGCTACGGAAGGAAACGGTGTACAGGTGACAGGACAAAGCATCTCCGAAGAAACGGAAGCTACTCGGTTTCTTCGAATTTCCGGTGTAGTATGTGAGAGAGAGGTTTGATCTACGTCACGTGGATGCTGCATGCAGGGAGTACACATGCTGAGCGAGACGTGTAATTTGTTTTCTTTCGGTTGGAAACTCGGTAACTTGACAAAAGAGATAATTCCATGTCGACAAAGAGGACAAGGAATGGAACCGGGAGGGCCTTGCATTTCAGAAGAAACATTGGTTGTGGAGCAAAGATAGAGCGCACATCTTACGCAAAGCTCGTGCATGCATCCTGCATGGAAAAATCTTGAGATCGGTTATTCCTAAACATGACCGCGTCTTCTATGAACTCAAATTTAAGCATGAAGCCTAAGCCTTGGATAAACGACTTTGATATTCAGAAGTTAGAATACAGTACCTTCTGCAGCTACTGAACATGGCTTCTCGAGGCAGACAGCACAGAAGTCGATCTCGTTAGAGGAGGTTGTCGGTGGTTGCAATCCACATTCTCTGCAGTAATTCAAATCAATCTTACTTCCATTTACATCTCTTTCAAGGGATTTACAAGTTAATTACGTTAGGTATTATTACATGTTTCCAACAATTATAAAATACGGAAAAAAAATCACTATGCTTCAAGGATTTCACATTTCTACGGACTTAAAATTGATTTTGGTATGTTTGAAAGTTCCTGATTAGAATTGATTTTGCCTCTTAAATTGATTCTAAATTAAAGCTAAGATTAATAGTTTTTGCCTCTAAACGTGAATTTTACTTTCAAATTCAACTCACTGTCATGTGAATGTATTGAAACAAAAATCATTCTGAGTTAAACTCGCTTTTAACTAAAATCTATTCAATCAAAATCAATTTTCGCCTTCGTAAGACCAAACACACACTCCGCCTAATTCAACCAAAAAACGATTCTGCGCGCGTATAGACTCAGACATAGTCACAAAGATCACACAATTGCATCATCCTACAAGCTGGATCTCGATTTTGACTAGCATGATACACATCTATTTCTCACATCTTCCCAAAACTCATTTGTTACTTTTTTATCCTAGTTACAATTCCCATTTGTTGATTTTCAATATCTAGATTTATCGACAATAAAATTACCTGGCTATGTTGAGCACGCTCATGAGGGGCAAAGATAAATAATTTGAAGTAGGGAATGACGACACTACGGTATCAGAACTGGGCGCCAGCAACGGTTCGAGCCAATGACGCCCCCACATCCTAGCAACATCAAGTGGAAGCCACCTGAGGGAAAATTCAAATCGGTATAGTTATGTTTTAGCGTTTTATACTTGAATTTCCATTCACAATATCTTACCCGTTGCAGTTCAAAGCCATTCGAGTTGCACCTTTTGCAAGGAGGATCTGAAAAAATAAGAGCACTATAACAGATCCATACCATGTTTTTACATAAGCAATAAGCTGTTTTCCTGAAGAGCTTATGGAACAAGCTGAAAACAGCAGCTTATGAACATGTCATATTGAATATCACACGTCAGCATTAAGGATACATTGAATATCACGCGTCAGCGTTAAAGGTATTCTTACCTGGCAGCATTTTAAGTTTCCACCACAAGCAGCATAATGCAATGGAGTGCTTCCAGCCCCTATATCAATGTTCATCGGTAATTTTCAGGAACGTTGGGAGAAAAACAAGCACATACGTTTTATCATCATATTAAACAAAAGATTTACCTATTAAATCCATTGATGTTCCATAATGATATGTTGCAGCTGACACATTTGCGTTAAGATCAAGTAGGAGTTGTACACAATCGAAATAGCCGTTCAATGCAGCCATGTGAAGTGCAGTAATACCAGCATCAGCCGTCTTGTTTACAAACTTGGACAATGTACTGCACTGGAATGAATTAAATAAATAGCAAGAATATAACGTACAGAAATTAAAACTATATTGTATAGTTGGCAATGTTCTAAATTGTAGTCTGCAACCGCAATTTCAATTGCACTGGTTGCATGAAATTCACTATACTCTTTTAAGAATTACACAATGAAGAGGAATGGCAGACCTTTGCTCGTTTTTTCTTTTCGTATTTGATCCATCACTCACGTCAGCATCCGCGCTAGCATGTAGAGTTTCATAAGGAGCACTTGGAACGAAGTCAGCCACAACAAGTCTAATGCATCTAACATGCCCACTGACAGCTGCAAAGTGAAGAGCTGTCCTCCCACTAAGATAATCTGCTTTCATAACCTGTTATTAATCTAGTTAGTCTCGACATGGTTATCTGATATACATGCAAGTCGTATCTCGACTCGTTACAAAACTGAACGCAATTGATGTGAATCTCTATTGAGTATCTAATTTGGACATGATTCGAAAGATAGGTAATCTAATTCACAATTTATCTTGATTTGATAAGCATAATTCACAAAATGAAAATATACTTGAACACAAAATTCCAATTCCCGCACAACGTGTGGTTTCAACTATCAACCCTGCGACTTGTATCGTTCCAATTTTATCAGAGATATTATCATATAACTGAAAGAGTGAGAAAATGAATGACAGTACTCACATTGCATCGGTAGAGCATAAGGGTCTGTACAACTTCCCAATGACCATGTCTACAAGCTTGCATCAAAGCTGTCTATAAATCAAGAATCAAAGTAAGCCAAAATTAAAAACCTTATTTAGAAAATCACATTCTTAGCCAATGCATCATATACATGCAACGAAAAGGAAACTAAGATACACCAACAAAAAGCTTCACATTATCATGCTGACATATTTTAAACAAAAACCAGAACCACTCATCTGTCAAGAATCATAATGCACACACAAGCCATTTCAGCCACATGACAGGGTCGTCTTAAGTTTTTGGAGACCTTGTGTAAGTTAATCACAGTTAAAGTGTGGCAAATCAAATAGAGGTCCTATTTAGTCGTGAAAACTATTTTATGAGACCATTTTTAGCTACAGTTCAATCGTGTCAAATTTTGAATCTTGTGCAGTAGCCCGCCTTGCACACCCTCAAATACGTCTTAAGTTATAGATTATAGAATCACACTCTCAAACTAGTTAGGTGGATCAAAGTGAAATGTGATTAAAAAATCCCTTTTTATGTTACAGACACCGCAACGCGACCACGATTGAGGCCGCATCTTTTGCATTTGACCACGATTCTTCACAATATCAAAGACTGTGACGCGGCTGCAGCCCCATTACTATGATCATATCATGCAAATCAGTCAAATCAAACACTATAACAGTAAAACTCAAACCAAACAAGCCATAAAAAAATGAAAACCATACCTGCCCACAATAATTTCTCGAATTCACATCAGCTCCCTTCTCAAGCAACAATGCCACAATCTAACAAACACAGCAAAAGACCAAAACATTGATTGATGATATTAATTTAAACAAAAAACATATATTTTAAGACAATAAAAGGGTTGAATTGAGAAACCTCGTTATGACCCTTGGAAGCAGCAAAATGAAGAGGTGAATTAAGACCACCAAAGGTTGAATATTTAGCAAGACCAGGATTGAATTCCAAAAGCATCTTTGCTTCAACCAAATCACCATCCCTGGCCGCAGACACCAATCTCTCCCCAGAAGCTGAACAGCCAAAAGAATTTCCCATCTCTGATGAAAAAAACAATGGCGGATTCAGAAAATAAATAATGGGGTGTTGATGATTTGAAGAAAAATGAAAACTTTGGGTTGAATTTTGATGGTGATGTAGCAGCAGAAGAATGAAGGTGAAAAGGTTGGAACTTGAAATGGTGGTGGTGGAGTTGTTTTTTGTGAGAAGAAAAAACATATGGAAAATTGGAATGAAGGTTCACTTTACCTTGTTTATGTTCTTTTCTTCTTTGTGTCTGTTCCTTTGACTTTTTTGCTTTGTTGTTGTTTACTCTAATCTTAAAATAATCCACTAAACAAAATATAAAACCTTGAATAATTCTACTACTTCAATTTAAGTTCACAAAAAAAAAAATATCAGTTTTCTAGACTATGTTAAATATTTAAAGATTAAATGATAATTAATAACTAAAAATAATATTTGTTTAAATTGTTTAATATTAAATATTACTTTTTTGGCATGGTAGTTTTTTGGCATGATATATATATATATTTATCATTTTTATATAAAATATATACTACATATAACTTTTTTCTATAATATATGATTTAACCCGATCAGAGTTGGACCGTCACAGCTGGCTTCGGACTGAGCTTGAATGAGATGGGGGTACCTGCAAGACACTCTGATGGTAAAGTGAGAAGCGGAATGAGCAAGCAAGTATAAGTTTTAGGTGTGAATGAATGAATATCTGACCCTCTCGAAAGAGAGGGTATTTATAGCCCTCAGTGCTGGGCCAAGGTCTCTTTATTGGGCTGATCAAACAGGTCTAACAAAGAGACTGTCAGGTTCTACGTGTGTAGTGGGGACCCGCACGTGGCCCCCTACCTGGATAACGTCCTCCGCAAGACAGGGAGGATAGAGACGCGATCTTTCCGGGACCATGAAGACTCCGCGAAATCTGGAGAGGTTTGAAGTCAGTCCTACGAGGAAGGTGCTCAGGAGGAGCGCGTGCTCGTCGGGGATGGTCTCCGCGAGCACTGACGGGAAGCAGTCATGGTCGACAAGATATCTGTGGTCGGGATGTACTCGGTGGAAATACTGCTCAGCGCAGCAGGTTGGCAAGCTTGAATTGGGCCTCACTGGTAGTTGGGCCAAGGGCAGACCCAGTCCAGAACAGGAGCCTCCCAAGTCGTTTCTCCTGGTAAAGGAGTTATGACTTGATTCAAGTTTGCCCTTCGCGAGACTTACTGCGCGACACAGGGGTTTTCTACCGTGGACGTGAGACGTCGCCTGGTTCGTGATTTGCTTCGTGCAGCGGTCGAAGAATGTTCGAGGAGTACTCGCAGGGAGAGGATGATACACTAGTCAGACACGTGGCGTAGCTCTTGGAAACCACAATGGTGGCCTAGGGAGTAGGGGCCATCATTGTCTATGTGAGTAGGTATCGAGGATAAAGGCGGTTTGTGATTCCCCGACGCGATGTTTCACATTCCACATCATCTTTATAAATAGGGCTTCAGGGCCCATAACTTGTTTTCACATTTTCACGCTCTCATATTTTCTCTTCTGTCAACACCGCGCGTTTTCCTAGTGTCACTGAGACGGCCGCACAGTCCGCCGTGTATTTATCTCCACAACCGTCGCTCCTCACTCTTCCTCCAAGTAAGTGTTCTTTTTCTTTGCTATCTTGTGTTGTATATAGATTTTGATGGTGTTTAGTGGTAGAATTTCGTGTCTGGGGATTATGCCCGGGAAATTCAAGCGCTTTAGGCGTCTGATTCATGATCATGCCCGCGGTGTTCATAGGTTTAGGCATGTGGTTTATGACCGTGCCTGTGATATTCATGTATTTGGCTAATAGATTTATGAACTTGGTCGGGGCATTCATTCTTTCGTTAGTATGTAGGCTAGTTTTCCCCGTGGTATTATTGTATCTGGCTAGCAATGTTATGAACTTGGTCGTGAAATTCATCCTTTGCTCGCGATATTCTTGTTGTGCCTGTGACATTTATGATTGATATACATTTGCCGTTAAGGTCGGTGTTTGATCGAGGTCCACGTGTTCCCCGTCTTTCGTGCGAATGGCCATTAACTCGGTCTGAGTGTTGCTTACTTCTCCCGATCTGTATGGCGGAAAAGCGGATTTGCTGTCGAATTCATCGGTTTCCTGTACTTTGCAGGTAAATGGTCGATATTCCCGAGTCCTCGGAGCATATTGACACCAAGGAAACAAGCACTACCAAGGAAAGCATGAATCTGGTCGACACCATCGACGACCCTACTCTGGACTGGGTTGGTGCGGAACCCCGGGGGATAGCTTCAATCTATAGCTATACCGGTAGGCAAGCTTACACTATCGTCGAGTATGGCAGCGGCCATGAGGGATTTCAGATAAATTTTAAGATCATGAGGCCGACAAGGGATGCCCGCATTTGCTCGGAGTTTACTCAGGACGCCTTCCCTATGTACGAGATCGTATTTAAAGATCTCGGGATCTGGCTACCTTTCAACGACTTCCAGATGGGAGTGTTCAATCACTTGAACCTGGTCCCCTCCCAGATTCATCCTAACGCGATTGCCTTTATTCGGGCATTCGAACTCACCTTCCGCTTCCTGAGGATCGGGGCAACGATTCCCCTGTTCTTTAGGGTTTTTCACCTGCAACGGCAGTCCCGATGAGGGAAGCACAATTGGGTGCCCCTTAAGCAGTCAAAGAGACTGTTTAGGATGTATATGGATTATGTGCGAGATTTCAAGGATAAGTGGTATATTTTGCAACCGTCTACTCAGACAGTCGTGGATTCGCTGTTCGAACCGGCTGCTGTGGTGGACGAGGACGAGGAGCCGTGTTCGGATTTTGAGGGTAATCCTGAGATTGAGAAAGTCTCAAAGTTTCCCATCCACTGGTGTTCGGGCCATTACGACCATGGACCTGGATACTACCACACTCCCGTTGGAGGTATGAGCGTTGAGGACGAGGAGGCTTATGGCATCTTGAACAAATTTGTCGATGGTTTCTTCCCTACTCAGTGGGTTACGAGGGAAGGGAACGAAATTCTTGATGAGGATGGCGAGCCGACGTTCGAGGCACGTCCGATCAACACCAAGGCGCTCGTCAAATTCCAGTCTTACGGGCAGGCCGTGGAGCTCTTAGGTTTCTTGCTTTACTCTATTGATAGCCCTCTTTATTTGTTTTCTTCGATGTGGCTAACCCAAGTACATTTCCTTTGCAGGTCACATGGCAGAACTTCACGAGAGGTTGCTGAAGCTGACCCAAGACAAGAAGATCAGCAAGAGGTTGGTGAAGCCGCAACAAGCCACGCGAATGGGTCCGACCCCCGAGTCGGGAAGGGAAGGATCTAGTTGGTCCTTGGGTTCCCATGACACCGAGCGTCAATCTGCTTTGATTAGCAAGAAATGGATTCGACTAGAAGGTGGAGTCGAAGTGACCGATGAAGGGGCGGGTTCCCGGGCCTTCAGCATGCCACCCTATTTTGTGGAAAAGGATTTCTTTGAGGGGTTTCCCTTAACCCTATCCAACAACGAGGTCGATATCATCAGACGGCTCGACAAGGAAGGTCAGAGGAAACACCTCGCCGCCAACATGATCGGGGTGGTGAAAATGGCCGAGATGGCAGTTGTCCTTGCGGGCGAATGGTCGGACTCCTTGGATCGGGTCAAGGAGCTGGAGTCGGAGAAGGCGGCTCTCGTGGCCAAATCCCGCAAACTGAAGGCTGCTCTGGAATACTCTGAGGAAATGTTTCAGGAGCAGTCTGACGTGCTGTCGGGGGAGAAGGAGAGGGTCGACATAGCCCTTGAGGACAAAGACTGCCTCCAACTTGATAAGGGGCGGTTGGAGAGTGACAACCAACGGCTGTTGAGAGGGGTCAAAGATCTGAAGGTTGTTATGCTGTCTGCGGAGGATGAACCTGAAGGGGTGGTCGACTTACACATGCGTGCTGACTTCATCGCTCGAATTCAACTTCTGGAGTCGAATTGTGTTGACGCTTTGACCGATGGCTTTGAGTCCACTATGAATCAACTGTCCATGCTAAATTCAGGGTTGAATATTGAAGGGATTGGGGTTCTATCCTAAGTCATCGATGGTCGGGTTGTGCCTCCTCCTGACTGTCCTGACGTCGACGTTGGTACTCTGGGGAGTGATTAATGCTTTTATTAAAGTGTTTGGGCCTGCGTGTCCACTATTATTTTGGGGCCTGCGTGCCCGCTTTCATTCCTTTAATTTTTTGGCTGTTGTGCCTGAATTATAATTTTGGACAACGTCGGCCCTTGTGATCGGTATATTATTGATCTTTGTTTGTGACTGTCTACTCGATGAATGCTTTGTTTATAGTAGTTATATGATAATAATATTTGATGTATATGCATGACCGTTATCTTGGTTATGAATTTTTGACAAAGTTTGTGTTCGTATGGAGATATTCGTTCGACCCTAATGTCGGTTCGACGCACTTCGAAATGTGTCGAATGTGCAAAGTGGGAATCTACGTGTCGGGCGTATGATCGCGATCGGGATCCTACGCTCGTGGCCTAGACTGCCCATTGTGAGCTGGGTGTTCTGCCATGTGGGGTACTTTAATAGTGGAGCTCGATCGAGGTATCCCTGTCGGGCATGTATGTTTGGTTCATCGAAGTGAACGACATTATGCCTTCATTGGTTGGCAGGTCGGGCCCGTACCTCGACTCGCCTACGTGGTCGAGCTTTTCCCTTCGTTGATTGAAGGTGACTATTCAATGGCAAAATTCCTCCAGCAGGTGAGGGGCTTTAGCTATAATATTGTTTTAGCTTCGCAGCATTCCAGAGTCGTGGTAATGGTTCTCTGTTTAATTGCTCAAGATAATATGATCTGGTTCCTGTAGCTCCCTGGACGCGATAAGGTCCCTCCCAGTTTGCGGCCAATTTCCCTTCGCGAGAATCTTTCTGGTTTCTCCGCAAGACTAGGCTGCCGATCTGAAATTCCGTCTTATAACTTTTCTGTCGTGGCGTAGGGCTACCTGCTATTTCAGAGTGGCCTCGCGCAGGGATGCTCCTG